ACGGTTTTAAACGCCATCGTTATCAGCAGGACAGGTGAGAGCTCTGTGTCTTTCATACATTACCCCGAAGCATCACTAGTACACGCTGAGCATCCCCAACCCTGAAATCTGAAATCCAAAATCCCAAACTTTTTGAAGGCCAACATGATCCCACAAGGGGAAATTTCACACTTGACCTCATGATGGGCTGTAGTCAAAATGCAGTAAAAACTTGGTTTCATGCACAAAATCATGAAAGATTGTATAAAATCACCTTCAGACTACGTCTATAAGGCATATAGGAAACATGCGTGAATTCTGTATTTAGATGTCAGTCTCAGTCCCAAGATATCATTATGCATATGCAAATTTCCCAAAATCTGAAAACAATATGAAATCTGAAACAATTCTGGTCCCAGGCACCACCTTGCTTGAGATGCCTGGTGCACCCATCATTACGAGAAGCAGCTCTCTGATCGTCAGAACGTCCAGGTCTCTCCCTAGTGCTGGAACTCCCAAGGAGGCTCTCAAGCCATTACAGACTGAGCTTAGCAAAGCAGAGGAGGGCCTCTGTGATGTGGAAGGATCAGTCCCACTACTATTCCAATAATGTTTTAAATAGGAAACATATATATATATCCTGTTTAAATGTGTGTGCATATCTATATATGTGTGTGTGTGCATATATGTATATATATATATATATGCACACACATTTTGAGACAGAGTCTCACCCTGTCACCCAGGCTGGAGTGCAATGGTGCAATCTCGGCTCACTGTAACCTTTACCTCCCGGATTCTCCTGCCTCAGCCTCCCGAGTAGCTGGGATTATAGGCATCTGCCACCATGCCTGGCTAAGTTTTTGTATATTTAATAGAGATGGGGTTTCAACATGTTGGCCAGGCTGGTCTCGAACTCCTAACCTTGTGATCCACCTGCCTCGGCCTCCCAAAATGCTGGGATTATAGGTATGAGCCACAGTGCCAGGCCAGACAGGGAGATATTTTACACTTAACCTAGTGCTATCTGCAAAGCAGGGATATATCAACAAACACTTTTCTATTTGGACCAGAAATGTTTCACACGGTTTTTTTTGTCTGTCTACTTAAATGCGTAAAACGCATTTGTGTGTAAAATTATAAATGCGAAGTGCATTTCTGTGTAAAATGTGTAAAATGCATTTGTGTGTAAAATGTGTGAAATGCATTTATGTGTATGAAGACTCGGCCTGTTTAGTCCTTGCAGCAGAGATCTCTTCTAATGACTGGTTAACAGCAGCGAGCTCCACTTCCTGCTTCCCTGCAGGGTAACTAATTAATAAACTTTCCCCTAATTGAGTTCTGGCTGCCAGGTCCACAGGGATTATTACTTATAGTTAAGTAAACAAAATTTCCATTTAAACAACGCTTCAGATCTCCTCATTATATTTTAAACAGTTATAAATTCACAAAGTCAAGCAAGTCCTGGGCAGGGAGGCCGTGTGCAATGGGATCTGGATCCTTCCTCCTCAAGAGGAAAGAGAGGTCCCCTCGTCTGCCGATCCCAGGAGCCTGTACTCCTCCCCCTCTTCATCCTCATCTACTGAAACATCAGGAAGGACCTACAAGAGGTTCGGGAAGCCATTCATGGTATTTGCCTCTTCCTTTAACCTGAATGCATTATTTAAAAGCAATTCTCTTTCACAATTTAAAAACAGGAAGAAGACAAGTTGGCTATTAAATATTTAATAAGTGTGCAGGATTCCTTAGGTACTGATTTGGTGGATCACTGAGTGTGGCTGTATTTCAGGTTCCTATATTTGAAGTCATTTAATGAACTGTCTCCTTGTTTTCAAGATTTCTCCCTACTTTCAGATTGCAAGTTGAAACCAGAACCGAAAAAAAGTAAAAAACCAAAAATAGAGTAGTCCTCAGTTTGGTTTGAAACCTAGAAGGAGGAGAGACGATTCCGTCGCCTGAGGTTTTCTGATGAGTGCCACTTGGGAGTCATTTGGCTCAAGATTTAGATGTTTTATGAGTCACTCTTTGCAGCAAGTACAAGAAAGTACTGCAGGCCCTGATGACGATGGTGATGACAATTACAATGATTGACAGCTGCTTAAAAGAATAAACTAAACATTTGTCAGACTCTCACATTCACAGGGCGAAGACATTACCCAGGAGGAAACAGGGAGGGCCGGGTTCAAGGCTAGCTCCACACATCAAGAGAAGTGTGGATGCAATTCTGCAGTAGATTTTAAAGGTCTGGATGTCCTCATCCCTGTCCTAACATCTGTTTCCCTCTTTAAGAACATTATTCTAAAAGGAAGCGCTCTACGTGGTGCGAGCCTGTTACCGAGAATAAATCTCCCAAGAGATTCCCATTCACTATACTCTGCTCCTCTCCAGTCAGACTTTGCTCACCATCCTGGGCTGTCAAGAGAGATCTGGACCCCTGCTAATGGGCCACCTCCCTGGGGCACCCAGCCTGCTGCACGTGAGGACCGGAACCTCTGGGTTCCCCACAGCTGCCACTGCAGGCAGTTCAGAGCTGATGATCACAGCCATAAAGAGCATCCGCAGCTGTGGATATTTTCCTTGTGTCCTGGTGGTAGGAGGAGCCAAGCCTCCAGGCCCAGTCAGAACTCAGGGAACGTGGGACACAAGCTGCAGCCTGGGCGAATCTCACATGCATCACGCTACGTGAAAGCAGACAGACACAAAAGGCCACATCCGGAGCCCATTCCTATGATATTCTGGCTAAACGCAAAACCAGGACAACAATCGGATCTGTGGATGCCAGGGGCTAGAGGTGGGGGGAAGGGACAAAGGGCGAGAGGGACCTTTGGCCTCATTTTCTATTTTGGTAATGGCGGTGGCTACATGACTATAGGGATTGGCCAAAACTCATCTAAAGATGCATAAAAGTGATGTTTCACTGAATGTAAATTATACCGCAATAAACCTGGATTTAAACATTGACTAAGGAGTAGGAAGAGACGCGCTGAGATGGGGGAAGGGAGGAGCTTTTGCTTGGGGGCAACAGAAGCCCCCAAAGCTCTCTCTCCAGCAGTACTGTTCTCCAAGTCCTTTGAGCCACGAGTAGGCTCAGGGAGGAATCAGGGGGAGCCTGTCCACAGGTCCCAGCTGATGCCTTTTTATTTTTATTTTCTGAGACAGAGTCTTGCTCTGTCACCCAGGCTGGAGTGCAGTGGCACGATCTGGGCTCACTGCATCCTCTGCCTCCCTGTTCAAGTGATTCTCCTGCCTCAGCCTCCTGAGTAGCTGGGAGGTGGGCATCAACACATTTAGTTAATTTTTTGTACTTTTAGTAGAGATGGGGTTTCACCATGTTGACCAGGCTGGTCTCAAACTCCTGACCTCAAGTGATCCACCTGCCTCAGCCTCCCAAAGTGCTGGGATTACAGGTGTGAGCCACTGTGCCTCGTCCCAGTTGGATGTTTTAATTCCAGGTTTTATGTAGAACAGCTTTGTGGACTGTCTCTGCTTTACAATTTCCAGTCCAGTCCAGGGTTAGACTCTTTTTTTTTTTGAGATGGAGTCTAGCTCTGTCACCCAGGCTGGAGTGCAGTGGTGCTATCTCGGCTCACTGCAACCTCTGCCTCTAGGTTCAAACAATTCTCCTGCCTCAGCCTCCCAAGCAGCTGGGACTACAGGTGCCTGCAACCACACCCAGCTAATTTTTCTATTTTTAGTAGAGATAGAGTTTCACCATACTGGCCAGGCCAGTCTCGAACTCCTGACCTTATGATCTGTCCATCTCGGCCTCCCAAAGTGCTGGGATTACAGGCATGAGCCATTGTGCCTGGCCCAGGGTTAGACTCTTAACTCAGTTTTCAGATTGCTTTTCTGGCATCCAGTGTCTCTGAGACAATCATGCAGAAGGTGCCAGGAGACAGATGCCCGAGTATTGAAAGCCCTACAGAGATGGGCACAGAGGAACCACAGAAGCACTACCTGGCCAGCCCGACAGCCCTGTTACCCACAGCTTGCCGTGGGAACCCAGTGAAATCAGCAGACCTCTTTGCCCCTGGTCCAGGATCCCCACTGGAAACATGCAGCTGATCGTACTCAACTCTGTCAGGTATAGAGCAGACACCACTTCACAGAGGATGGAGAGCTGCCCCACGGCCCCTGCTGACTTTGCAGACGCAGCCAGTGGGGTCTGGAGAGGCACTGGGTTAGGTTCCTGGCAGTGCAGCTCATTCAGAGAGCAGGCACCGTGCTTGGGTTTTAACCGCAAACCTTCATTGACGGGCACGATTTGAGGGAGGCAGCCAGGGTCTGGTTAGTTATTCAAAAGTCTCATTTCCATGCTATTTAAAAAACATGACTCCTATAGTGGACTCAAGCTAATGATAAGACCACACTGCCCGGCTTGGGTGAGTCGATGCTGGTGTTTCTCGAGGAGCATTTTTAGGGTCTGTGAACAAAAAGACACTGCGAGGTGGCTGTTTTCTTTTTGTAAGTTCGGTCTCTCACCTGCTCATGGCAATCACATTCATAAATCATCTTTACCAAAGCAAACTCCCTTCCCTGGACTGTTCAAAAGTAAACTTCCGTCCAGACACTGTAATTATCTTGAATTATGAGTCACTGAAATGCATACTGTAGTCAATTAAGAACAGTTTGGCTGGGCATGGTGGCTCGTACTTGTCATCCCAACACTTTGGGAGACCAAGCCAACAGGATCTCAAGACTGGGAGTTCTAGACCAGCCTGGACAGCATAGCAAGGTCCCATCTCTACAAAAATAAATAAATAAATAAATAAATAAATAGCTAGATGTGGTGGGAGGAGCCTGTAGTCCCAGCTACTTGGGAAACTGAGGCAGGAGGATCAATTGAGCCCAGGAGTTGGAGGCTGCAGTGAGCTGTGATTGTGCCACTGCACTGTAGCCTGGGTGACAGAGCAGGACACTGTCACACAGACACACACAAAGGTCATGGTTGTCCGAGGGGTTCCTGGCTGGGGCCAGAGCCACTAAGGAGGACGAGGGGAGCATGGTACCGGTCGACTTACTTCCGCCTTTTCCGCTCTTCTCCATCCGGTACTGGTAGATGTGCAGTGTGAAGAACATGTGTGAGTTACGGTGGTCGTCCTCGTCACAGTCCTGCTGGTGGCTCCTGCGGGAGGCGATGGCGGCGTCCAGGAAAAAGGCAGCCTTCTCCGCGGTGGGGGCCCGCAGCTCGCTCTGGTTCTGCAGCTGGAAGACAGAAGCCAAGAGCTGAAGCTTTCAGATTCCACCTCTCTAAGCTCGAAAACCCTTCTGGAACCAGGTGCTGTACTCGTGCAATTCTCAGCTTAATTAATTCATTTCTGAAAATTAATGTTGAGCATACTTATTGGATGAAACCTAGTTTTACCCATTTGACATCCTAAGTAGAATCTGGAAATACGGGGTTGAAAAGCTGGGAGCAGACGGCCCATCCTTATCTCTGCAGAGGACAACAAGTCAACACCCCTGGCTATGCATTTACCTAAGAAAACAGGAGGATGCGGCAGCATCTTGATTCCAAAGATTAGGCTGTTTGGAGACAGGTCTGCTGCAAACCGTGATTTTAGACCTGATAGCAGAGGTATCCCAAAGAGGTTAAAAAACTTAGTTAGCTTTCATTTGACTCCTAGTTTTTCAGTTACTTGATTAAAGCCAATTTTAGGTCATATTTACTAGCATAGTTTTAAATAAGCCAGTGTAAACGGCACCCTGAAACACCCACGACACTTGAATGTCTTATCTAAATGTAGGAGATATCCCTGTTCCTGGCATACTCATGAATCGATTAAAGAAAGCATAGAAAGTAATGTGTCTAAATCTTATGAAAACACTTGGCAATTATTTTAAACCTGAATCACAACAATCATCTTAACAGAATTTAACCAGCATTCCTCTTTGTGGGGAGAAAAGGAAATTCATGTTTCTGATTTGTTCAAAGAACTAATTTGCAATATATGTCTTAAGGTTGGCACAAATTCTGATAATTTTCTACTCTAACTATACAAATAATTTTGAACTCACTTTAAGAGCTAACATTTAGAACCTGAACCTGAGACCATCAAAATCCTCAAACTTCAAAGAGAGATTCTTTTGTGTTCACAATTTTGACTCGCTATGGAAACATAAACCAAAGCATTTCAAAGATTTTCAACGAGAGTTAAAGGAAACATCGTCTTTCCCTCTTTTTCTTTGCCTTCATGTAACCAGATCTTTCACCCCTAAGTGGAACTTCATCAGTGAAGCTCTAAAAGCAACAGAGGTGAAAGCAGATTTGAATGCCTAGGAAATGCCTGGAACAGGAGCAGGGGGTCGGGCCCTGCTGATGGATGGCATCGCGGGCACCCTGTAGATGCCACCTCAGCACATTTCACGCCTCAAAGCAGTGCTTTCAAACATGTGAGCCCTGGATTAGCAGCACCAGCATCTCATGGGAACTGGTTAGAAATCCACACACACTTTGGAGCTCTACTCCAGCCTATGGAATTGGAAGCTGTGGGGGCAGTGTCCAGCAATCAGGGTTTAAACAAGTCCGCCGGTGACTGATGCAGATGAAAGAGGACTCAGAGGAAAATGGAACGATGAGGTGCTTTAAGCAGGGGAAAAGCATGGTCAGGTTTGAGCAGAGTATGACAAGCCATGGGAGGTGTCTTCATCTCTGCAAACAGTCCCTGTTGGGAAGAGGCAGGTACTTATATTTCTTTTCTTTTCTTTTTTTTTGAGACAGAGTCTCTCACTGTCACCCGGCTGGAGTGCAATGACATGGTCACGGCTCACTGCAACCTCCGCCTCCTGGGTTCAAGTGATTCTCCTGCCTCCCAAGTAGTTGGGATTACAGGTGCTTGCCACCACACCCCGCTAATTTTTTTTTTTTTTAATTTTTAGTAGAGACGGGGTTTCACTATGTTGACCAGGCTGGTCTCAAACTCCTGACCTCGTGATCTGCCCGCCTTGGGCTCCCAAAGTGCTGGATGACAGGCGTGAGCCACCACGCCCGGCTGAGGCAGGTACTTATCAAACGGAACCTATCCAAAAAAGGAGGCATCTGATCAAACGGGAAACTAAGGCCTACTGCTAGAGATAGGAAGGACTGATTATTCTGGAAATGAACTGTGGCTCCCGAGTCAGTCCCACATCTACTGTCAAACAGCAAAGGAGAGACCCTCGCAAGACACAGCACCCTCAAACTGAGAACTGGAGCTTCTCTTGGCTTCCACAGCTCCAGCAATTACATCATGGCTCTAATTAGAAAGTGGCTATTAGTTTTTCCTGCAGCACTGCTAATCCGGCTGTAAACCAGTGCCAGAAACACAGTTTATGGAGTCATAAACAGCCCCGGTAATGGCTGTAGCTATTGGTGAAGAGCAGTAAATATTTCGGTTTGTTGTTAAACAAAAGAAAGATTGTCCTTTTTTTTTTTCTTTTGAATGGGGCATAAAGGAAGTGAATTCAATTTCTCTCTGAAATGCTATAACAATTGTGGTTCCTGCTCATTGTCAATTAAAGTCAAGGTACAAATATTTAGACTGGCCGAGCAGACGGCCCGCAGCTGCAGGCTATAAAGTTCCAGTCCACTTTAAAGTAAACACCCGCAAGCCTCCCAGATAACAGGTTGAGTGATTCATGGTCGAGCTGGCCCGGCCTGAGGCAGGGAAGACGCTACCAGGCTTCAATCACCTGCGTGCCGCAGATGGGGTCCTCACACAGGTACACGCCCGGGGACTGGCCGTCCTGCAGGCTGCCCGTGGCCACCTCCGACAGCAGGTCCCGCAGGTTCTCCTCCTTCCCCCGCACTTCCACGGCGGAGATCCGGACTGAGAAACGGGTGCCGGTCTTTTCCTTCCGTTCGTTTATGAGCTTGAAGAGCCAAGAGATGGCGCAGGGGATGATGCCCAGGTCCTGCATGGAACCGTCCTTTCCAATCATGGTATAGGACTTTCCTGGGAGAGCCAGGGGAGGAAGAAAAGCAGTTTGAGTGTTCAGGCATCCTTCCACAGCGGCTCAAAATAGATGCCACGCATGGAGAGGAAGGGCATGGGCAAGTGGGGCAAAGGAACGAAAAGATGAGAGAAATGCCATGTGACAACAAGGCGTTTTCGGGCATTACTAATTAAATGGCCCTAATGAAGAAGGCTGTGGGCTCAGTGGCTCACGCTGGTATCCCAGCACATGGAGAGGCCAAGGCGGGAGGACTGCTTGAGGCCAGGAGCTCCAGGCCAGTCTGGGTGACACACTGAGACCCTGCCTCTATAAAAAAAATGCTTAAAAATTAGCTGGGTGAGGTGGGGCATGCCTGTGGTCCCAGGCACTTGAGAGGCTGAGGTGAGAGGATCGCTTGAGCCCAGGAATTGGAGGTCACAGTAATCTGTGAGCATGCCATTGTCCTCCAGCCCAGGCAACTGAGAGCCTATCTCTCAAAAAAACGCAAAGCAAGAGCCCAGACGTGCGGCAAAATTAAATCACAATGTACCTTGAGGAGGACCCCAAATATCACATGCTATCCAGTTTCCGCACTGCTTACACAGCAGGAGGGAAGGGGCTTTTCATCACCATGGTTCTCTTTATGGTCACCTCACAGATTAGTCCACATATTCACCCTTGATAACCTTTTTCAAGTTAAATGCTGTGTATATTTTTACGGCATGAGCAAATTCCATTAAAATCCAGATCACTGCTTAGCTGCAGATCAAGAGGAAGGGCAGGGAAGGATGGAAGTGCAGAGAGGGGCATGGCTTTCTGTCCTGGCTGAGAACCGGCCTCTGTGAGCTCTGCCAGGCCTCTCTTGGAATCTCTGCCAAGGGACACTTTTTGGAGCCCCTCAATTCACTAAGCACATCAAGTGTGTAGAGCAGATGGCCCCAGGTCAGAATTAAGAAGGGACTGGTGAGGGGGGCAGATTATGAACCTCTTGTTGGGGGACTCTGCTGCCTCCTTTCCCAGATGCTTCAGCGCTGGAGCGTTCCTGACAGCATGCAACGCTTCCCCCAGACGCATCCCACCACGGCTCTGGGCTTTGCTTGGAGGTTGCTCCTCCCACTTTTTTTTGGAGACGGAGTCTCACTCTTCACCCCGGCTGGAGTGCAATGGCGCCATCTCGGCTCACTGCAACCTCCTCCTCCTTGGTTCAAGTGATTCTTCTGCCTCAGCCTCCCAAGTAAGTGGGATTACAGGCATGTGCCACCACGCCGGCCAATTTTTTTGTATTTTAGTACAGGCAGGGTTTTGCCGTGTTGCCCAGGCTGGTCTCGAACTCCTGAGCTCAGGCAATCCACTCGTCTCAGCCTCCCAAAGAGCTAGGATTACAGGCGAGAGCCATTGCGCCTGGCCCTCTCCGGCTTTTACAAGGGCTCCAACCACCAACCCGCATCCTCGTGGAGGGGAGGTGCAAGGGGCCCTATCTGCTTCCCCAACAGCAGCTGCTCAGGAAATCAATGTTTCCCCGCCTGCCTTCTGGGCTTGACTCTGACCTGGACCCAGTGGGAACAGCCCTGCTGCTTCTCTGTCCATGTCTTGGACTTGAAAGCTTTCCTACATGAATGGGTGTCCGCCTGCGATGAACAACATAGTGTGCGTTGTGTAACTTGTTATTGGTTATTTAGCTCAGCACCTAAGAGAAACACAACCTTCCCTTCACCAGAGGACTCTGGCGGGGACACAGAAGAATGCAGGGGATGACAGGGAGCCCGCCGAGTGGCACGAGAAGGTGAAACTCTCACGAACCCAGCTTGGCGTGGCCAAAACAGAACACGCAGCCGTCTGCCCCGTTGACCACAGACTGGATCACCTCCGCCACGGTGCCCGCACACACTTCAGCCTGTCAGACACAAGAGGAGACACCAGCCGTGAATGGATCACGCAGAGGAGGCATCACTAACAACGAAAGTGAGCCCACCTTCCCGGGGCTTCGGGGCCCAGTGTCACTGTGTATCAGGTGGGTCGGCCTCTGCCGTGACATCCTGGAGATGCTCAGAACCCTTGGCTACCTTCCGCCCTTTGCAAGCCTGAGCACTACGCACGTGAGCTGCAAACCACCCTCCTGCTAATCTCTGGTACATTTCAGCGGCTGCGTCTGTAGACCAGGCAGGGACAGGCTGGAATGGACCTCATTCCCTTCCCTCATCTGCCATCTGGCCCCCCCGGGACAAGGCCTTTAACCTCTCCGTTCACTCTCTGCTAACACACGTATACCTATAGTTCATGTAACAGGCCAGGCTTCCTAGTGGGGGAAAAGGTGACCCACCATTTCATAAGTGTGGAAAGTAGAAAAGTTCCTCTTCAAAATTTCCTTGCTTGTTAAAAAATAAATTTGCTAACAACTCTTTGTTTAGCCCTATCCTGTGTGGCTGTTAAACATGCCATGCTTACAGACACATAGTATATTCTATGTCCTTATACTTTAACCAAAATATCTGGACGTGCTGGACGTGCTCACAGCTCACAGTCTATGACCCTTACCTGTTTAAACAAGTTTAAGTTACTAGCCAATTGGGTTTTAGTTTAAATGGTAAGGTCTGGCTCCAACCAGTGGAGATCAAACACGGTAAGAACAACCCCAAATGCATAAGGGATAAATATGTCTGCTTTTCCTTTGCTCATTGTGCTCTCGTGGCAAGATGCCTAGCAAGGGTTCCCTTCTGCAGTGCAGGACGTAAAACTGCTTTGCTGAAAAATCCTTTGTCACACTGCTAATTTTTCCTTGTGGCACCAAGCCTTTCTCTACTGATCTCTTTCTTCATTCTCAATTCACATCTTCTTCCTTCCTTCCTTTCTTCCTTCCTTTGCTTTCTCTCTCTCCTTTCTCTTTCTTTCTCCTTCCTTTCTTTCTCTCCTTCTGTCTCTTTCTTTCTCTCTGGAGTGCAATGGCAATCTCCACTCACTGCAACCTAAACCTCCTGGGCTCAAGTGAGTCTCCTGCCTCAGCCTCCTAAGTAGCTGGGATTACAGGCACACACCATCATGCCTGGTTAATTATTTTAATTTTTTTTTTAGTAGAGCTGGGGTTTCACCATGTTGGTCAGGCTGGTCTCGAACTCCTGACCTCAGGTGATCCACCCACCTCAGCCTCCCAAAGTGCTGGGATTACAGGTGTGAGCCACACAACCGATCCACCCTCCTCTTTTCAAAGCCTGCCTTTTCTTTCTTTTGCTACAGATAGATTCAGCATATATAATATCAGTCACCACGTGGCATGTTGTTAGGTGTTCTTCAGCCTGGTGTGTGTGTCTGCTCTCCAATTTGATTATTAAATCCTAGACAGGGGCCAGGCCCTGGAGGACGTTTTGTATTTCCCCTGAACACCCACTAATAGAGCTATCTGCAGTTTTGAGGACTAACTTGGAAATCTGGAAAACGTCCTTCTCTTTGGTTAGCACCTGAGACTTGTCACAGACGCAGGAAGACAGCATTCTCCCTGCGCCCTGCTGCTTTCACTTCTGCCTCGGGCTGGAGTCAGAGCTGGTGGAAGCTCTGGGAGGCGGTGCTAACACAGGGCTTTGTGGGGCAGCGTGCCTCCCAGTGGGCACCTGGGCTATGAATGCTGTCATTCAGCTGCGGGTTCCCACAGCACAATGAACTCAAGTATTTGGAAGTCAGTTTTCTCTCCTAAACTGAAACGGAAAAACCACACTTCCAACAACTGTCCCTTGTTCCAGGGTGGGCCTCAGCCACTCTGTGGGGGCAAGGGGGCTTCTCCTGGGCCAAAGGGGTGGCAGGACAGGGCTGCTGTGGGGAACACAGGATCTTTCAAAGCCCCAGGACCTAGGCAGGGAGAGCCCAGTGCTAACCCTGACACAGAAGCAGTAGCATCTTGATGGAATTTGCAGGAGGCATCTGCAGAGCAGGCAGAAGGCTGCCCGATGAACTAAGCTTCTTTGGAGATAAAGTGAGATGGGAGGCCAGAGGCTGAGCAGTCACCTTGAGCTGTACCTACAATAAGCGGTGTTTGATTTTTGAGGCACCTGGGAGAATGCTGGGTGTGTGTGGACCACACTGGGTCACCTGTGCAGAGGCTGGGGCAAGAGGAGGCCTTGCTGTGCAGAGTTGGGGCGGCATCCCCTGGCAGAGTTCCTGCTTGGCTCTCCACTGAGAAGGGTGGTCGTGGGCAGTCCGTCTGGTGTGTGTTAAGAGCTGACACTGGCCCCTGGAGGCCCCTCACTGCTCTCCTTGGAGCTGGAGAGGCACGCAGCCTTCCCGAGCACAGCCCCACGGGCAGGGCCAGGTCTGCAGGAAGCCTCTGCTTGCCCACACGTCCGGGTTCTCATCCCAGCAGAGGTGTGTCCCAGCAGGGGCAGCCAGTGACTGCTGAGGCCACTGAAGGGTAATATGGATGTCTGTTAAAGGCAACTAGGAACCAGGACTGTTCTAATCATTGCTTAGCTGATTTCCTTAGAGGCCAGGAGAAAGCACAATTCGTAACTGCCTGGGTCACCATGGTGGCTGGGGCTTCACAGACTGAAACTCAGGGCTTGAGAGCGGAGGCCCACTCCACACACTCCCTGCTTTCAGGCTTTGGGAGCTCCAGTGGTGCTCGCCCCGTGGGGCGAGCTGGCCCCGCTCAGCAGCATGCTACTGATATTGACAATGATAACAGTAAAAATAGCCACATTTATTGAGCACTTGCTGTGTTCCTGGCTCTGCCGTGAGCACCTCATGTGTGTCAATTTGATGAATCACACAGCCTGATGAAGAACACTGGTCATGTCCCCATTTGACAGATGGGGACACTGAGGCCCAGAGAGGTTGAGTGACTCGCCTGAGGCCACATTGCTAGGAAACACTGGATAAAAGGGAGGGAGGTCAAAGATATGATACCATATCGAGCAGGATACAGAGACGTAACAGGAGGAATTCAGGAAGGACGTCTGCTCGGGAAGGGACTTTCAACAAGTGACTTGATCTTTGAGTCTCAGATTCCTTGTGTGTTATGTGAAAACAGCAATGCCTCCCTTCCTGCCCCACTGAAATCCAGTCAAACGCTTTCATGTCTATGAAATATCTTGAAAACTGCAAATGTATACAGACATGTAATTTATTATAGCACTGGAAATTTGAATGAAAGTAAGGCATTCTGAAATGAGTGAAACTCCAGCACTGAGCATACGGAGCTCTGGAGCCAAGTGTGAAATGTAAACAAAGACTAGCAATAAAGATGGCTCCTTTTTCTGGAATAAATCTAAAACTCATTAATAGTCCCTGCTTAATTTAGGGTTTGCTTTGGAATCCTTACAACTTGTGGAGATTTGCTTCTGAAAAGTTTTAACTGTGTTAATTAAATTATTTGTAGACCATTTATTAGACCCAATGTCAAGTTTAAATGACTGAGCCCATTGGGTGGTATGCCACACAAAAAAATGTAATAAAGAGAGAAACCGTAGAACTTACTCATAAAGTACTTTGTCTTCTTGGGTAAAACTCTTTGGGGAAACCACATGCTAAAATTCTGAATGAATGGAACTTATAACGTGTGTTATGTGGTGTAACATAAGAGCCGGTGAGAACACCACCTCCTCCTCCACTCAGATGCACGCTGGAGGAAATTAACAGAGGCTGCAGATGGTAGCATTCGCACTGCTGCCCTCAGCTTCTGCTATGGATTACTAGTTACTATGCACTTTGATGTAAATCTTGACAAGCATTAGAAACTGATCAAAAAATTGCAAAATCCAGGCTACGGAGGGCACCGTATACCTATGACCTCGGCTATTTATTTCTGCAGTTAGTTCTACACACATGTCCCCTCTCCGTCCCCTGCAGGAACAGGTACTGTTTGGTGCCACTTAGAGGCCCATCTTCACCAAAGCTCCAGAGTGAATCCAAATGAGAGCAGATGTCCACTAGAAGCTTTAGTTGCAGCATCTGGTAGGGGCTACAGTTCGCTGGCTGCCCATGGCCCAGTCATCTTGGTACCCTGGGCCCCCAAGTAGCCTCCCAATTATGCTCACAGTAGATTAATAAAAATGGCCCCAATTCTCCATCCTAGTCTGGGTGCAGCCCCCTTGCAATGTGGCTTGGAGCTCATCCAGTCATGAGGAGCAATCTCTTCCCCATCTCTTGAAGCTGGGCCAGTAGAATCCAGCAGAAGTGATACTGGGTCAATGCTGAGCTTAGGCCTCAATAGGCCTGTACGCATGGGTCCTGAACAGTGCCTTGAGAACTAGCCCAGCCTTGCCTGCTGGACGATGAGGGGCAGTGTGGAAGAGAGACCAGCTGACCTGATCAAGGCTATTCTAGACCAGTGTAAAGCCAGCCAACCCAAAGCCATGTGCCTACAGTGTAATACAGGATTAATCTAGCCAAGACCCACAGAGCTGCCTACCCACAGCTGATGACAGACATAAACATGAGCTGAGCTAGGAACAGAGGAGCTGATCAGCTGCCCTGTGAGCAAGAACAAATGCTTCTTGTGTTAAGCACTGAATTTTAGGGTGATTTGTAATGAGCAATTAAACAAATATAACACCTAACCCCACGCCTCTCTTCTTCCCCTTCACTCCACTGAGCCACGCCACAGGATGTGTGTCAGCCTCAGTTTCCCTGCCTTGCATTCCGGTTCCTTACCAGGACTATAGACTTGCCCTCAACCCCAGTGTGCTTATATAGGGTCCTAGGATAGTGCCTAATTCTAATCAGCTCCCTGAAACATTTTTTCCCTTTGTACAATGCCCGCACCCAGAAACCCAGGCAGGAGTAGGCTCCTCCTAGACCTGTCACCAGCACCTTGACGCAGTTGTCCTTGTTCCTTCCTGTCTGTTACTTTCCTGCTTCTGTGTGTGATCCACTGACTGGCTCATACTTCCTTCTCCCCAAGGACATATTTTATTGAAATCCCTGCACACAGGTCCTGCCCAGGGTCTGACACCAGTAATTCAAAAGCACTGGACCATTCGAGGGAGCTCAGACTGACTCCTGGAGGAACTGGTCCATCAGAATGCTCCAGAAGACACCCTTCCAGCTCAGGGGTCCTTGTGAATGAGTGAACGCTTCTTTAATCAACATTGCCTGAGCCTGAGAGGGGGCTGATACCCACCTGAGAAGCATCTTGTGGAAAAACCGCATCAAAGGCAAACATCTTTGGAGGAACCTGGTTGCCTCTCTTGGGGAAGGCATTTTGACCTCCACAAGTCAGGGGATCGTACAAGGTGATCTGCTTCTTCCGTGGGTCCACCTTTAAGAAAGAGCTGGATTCTGAGGTATCTCGAGCCAAGGTAGAACAGACGCGAAGCATGACTTTCACCTGTTAAGGAAAGAGGGGCCAGAGCAGGGGTGAAGACAGCAGCCTTGTGTGGTCTGCAAGCATAAATACTGAACTTTCTCAGGATAAATGAGGGTGAAATGCACAGTGAATTAGCAACATCATCCTTGCTAAGCCATGGGGAAACGGATTTATTTATACTGACCGGGTAGAATACTTAGATATGCCCATTGCTTCAATATGGAGAGGGCACATCATGTTCTTTGTCTTCCTATTAATATAAATTGAATATTAACTGTGCCCGCACGGCCCAATTACACAAATGAAAAGGTAATCTGGGCTGCCAAACTGTAGGGGCTGGTGTAGTTTCCTTGAAGCTCACAGATCAATAAACCGTGCACATAAAAGTTAGCTCCATAATTTACTCCTTGGCTCAGCTCATCAGGACTCCAGGAGACAAAAATCCACAGTGATTAGTGTCATCATTAAAGCACCGTGAAATGGCCTGCTTTTAATGGCCAGCATTTGAAAGGGGCAACAGTGATAAAGGACTGGTTTGCAACATGTTATCTGGGATCCCATTAAGTGAGTGCAGAGTTGCCATTTCAGAGAACAGAAGGGCATCTCCGGAGGAAGCAGGAGCTGTGCCCTTTAACTCACTTTCTGAGTAACTGAACACTGAGCACTCCGATGCTCACCACCCACCCGGCCCCACTCCTGCAGGTGAGTGAGGTGCTTACGGAAATGCACAGTCTGCCCTGGGGGCCCAGGTGAACAGAAATCAAGCTGAAGCCTCGCACAGGTCTGTGGGCTACAGTCCTAGGGAAGGGACGGCATTTGTTCTAACCAGCACCAGTCCAATAAATAATGGGCACTTATGTGAAGCACCTACCATGGCACTTATGTTGAGACCTACTATGTGCCAGGCACTGTGCTAGGCATGGGGGATCCAAAGATAAGTAATGCGTAGAGCAGCAGGATAGGCAGACACAGATACAGGTCATCTGGGTGACATACGGCAAACTCTGAAGGAATGCACAAGGACTATTTCTAAAGTCCTCTCTGTGTTTTGTTTTCTTTGTCTCATCAGTTGTTGGGTTTGATGAAATCTCTGTCATGCAATTTTGGGGAGGAGGGGTGGTTGTAAATTTTCTTTTTCTTTTTTAAGACGGAGTCTCTCTCTAGGCTGGAGTGCAATGGTGCTCGGCTCACTGCAACCTCTGGGTTCAAGCGATTCTCCTGCCTCAGCCTCCCAAGTAGCTGGGATTACAGGCACCTGCCACCACACTCGGCTAATTTTATATTTTTAGGAGAGATAGGGCTTCTCCATGTTGGTCAGGCTGGTCTCAAACTCCCGACCTCAGGTGATCTGCCCACCTTGGCCTCCCAAAGTACTGGGATTACAGGTGTGAGCCACCGTGTCCAGCCGTAAATTTTTAAATATTTCAGCTTACAGAAATGCTCAGAGAATCATATATTTCGTGCAAGCTGGCGGTCCTCCTGCTGACCTCGGCTCTATCTGCTCAGCCAACTCACCTGCAGTGCACAAGGCTGAAGGGAAAGAATTCCAAGGGCACTGGGTCCCCAGGTGTCCTGCACTGTGTCCCGGCTGTGCCTGCCTTCTAACTGAAGGCAGTACTCTCTGCAGACCCAGAAGCAGGTGTCACGGCGGAAGGAGCCCGAGGGTGGGACGCTCCACCTCTCAGGGTTTAGATCTTGCTTCTCCCACAGTGAGGTCACAGAATGACACCTGCCGTGTTGTCTCGTACGCCACAACTGTGCTGTTATCTACACAATCTCATTGAAGCCTCCCAGTCCTCTAGGGTGGGGGCATACCTGTCCAGATCTTACAGATGAAGAACTGATGTTACATAACTTGCCCCGCATCACTGAACCTGCGGGTGGAAGGCTGGACTTGGACCCCACCTCTAACGCCTGTGCTTTTTCCATCATGCCAAATGCTGCCTCCCACAGAAAGCCACATTTCTTAGAGCCCCAGCTGCCTTACCTGTATAGCCTAACAATGCCCGACATATGGGCGGTTGTGAAAAGTCAACGGACCAGCATGTAAAGTGCTGAGCGTGGCATAAGCACACGGTGGGCATTCAATTCCTGTATCTCTTCCTCCCTCCTCTACTTGCCTTCTCCTGGATCATGATAACCTATCACTTTCCAATCACAATGTTTATGGTAAGGTTTTAGACTGGGCGTGGTACCCGTACATGGAATCCCAGGGCTTTGGGAGGCAGACGTGGAAGTTCAAGACAGGCCTGGGCAACATGGCGAGACCCCATCTCTACAAAAACTTTATTTAAAAAAATAGCCAGGTGAGATGGTGCGCACCTACAGGTACCAGCTGCTCGGGAGGTTGAGGTAGCAGGGTCACCTGAGCTCAGGAGTTCAAGGCTACAGTAAGCTATGATCATGTCACTGCACTCCAGCCTGGGTGACAGAGGGAGACCTTGTCTCTTCAAAACAAAAAACAAAACAAAACATGATAAGGTTTTAGAACCCCTTGCCCTGGACTCTGGATGGCATCAATCACAAGCCGGATGCCGTGGGGGACCCCCGACAGGCAGAGCTAGTTAGTAAGCACTGGGCCCCCAGGGCTCCTATTAGTAAAACAGCCAAATCCCACACAGCCACTACACGCAGGACAATCACCACGAGGCTTATCTGCATTCCATTCTGGCAACTTGCTTGTTCACTGTGCTTTCACAGTCTGATTTCAGTTCCATTCATTTCTATAGCTTTGCCTCAGTTACACAGTATGCATGCTAAGAGCCTGTATTCAAATCACCACTTTTGGACGGCACCTGGGACCTCCAGGCTTTCTAAAACCTCCCGGCCTAGCCTCCTAGCACTGCACGTCAGGAATGACGCGGTGCCAGGCAGGACCGATGGGGCCACAGCCCACTGCTTTTCTATTTCACACGCCTGCATGCAATTTCTGGGTAACTAGAGGTGCTGAATGTAAAATATGAGCTAAGCCAGGCAAGGGCCTACAAGGAGATGCGGGCAAGAAGGGGCTGAATGAGTGAGTCATTTGTCCAGAAGGAGCGCTGCTGCATCTTAATGAAATCCCAGGCCTGCGGTTCCTTTTCTGTAGAGAGGCTGAAGATCCCAGTCACTGGTCTGGCCAAAAAGATATACAGCTCTTTAAAAACCCATTGAGCTCCAGGCTGGGAGAAACGCCACACTCTATTCTTTTCTTTGCAATTCGTCTAACTAAATGGACATTTTTTTTTCCCCTTAAAGGAAAGAAATTGAGTTTTTCTGCTTCACCTCCTTCGTATCATTATTCCTTTAGTCCAGCACTCCACTTCCTGCTTAATCCGCTGTAATTAAAGTGCTGAGGAGATGCCACTTGTGATCCAGAAAGCCCCTCGGACTTCTCGCCAGGAGATCTTGGTTTTATCACTAGTGCTCTTAGGTTCTTGGCGACAGCTACTCCAGCCCCGCCTCTGCCTGCTGCTCTTCCATAGGGGCAGGCAGTTACTAGCGTGCACCGCCTTCTCCCCAGCTCTCGGGGTGGAAGGGACAGTCGCTATTTCACTCCCCAGGGTAGACCTGCAGGGAACGGGATCCAGAAAGCTACAGGAACGGTCTGAGTGGTGGCCAGGAAGGGCTGACACCCTGATTCCAACAAGAGGAGACTGGCATTTCCTGCACCCAACTTCCCGCTGGTGGGGACCCTGCTCTGCCCTGTTTGTCTAATTAATCCACGGATGGAGCGGGACAGCTGTTGCTCTGGGCAGCAGTTATCTTTATGTCCTGCTCATTAATCAGTTCAGCTTGTCCTGGACGGCATCACGGGACTGAGGGAGAAAGGAATTGTGAGACACTCACAGAGAGAGAGGCAGCGCCTGGCTCCTGAACTGCACAGACACTCACTTCGCCAACACGGAGGCAATCGCTGCCTGCCACACAGCCCGACGGGAGGCTGAGGAGCAGCCCGTAATCACTCACTGCGACTGCTATCCGTGACCGTGGCACACAGATATTCCTGTTTGTCCCTCGTCACGGAGCACAGCCCCATGCTGCATGCCTAGGAGAGTCTTCTTGGCCTGTTTCTCTACCCAGAAGCTGTCTGGCTGGAGGTTTTCTGCAGACTCTAGGGTTCAGGAGGGCTACGGGCAAAATGTGACCACTGGAAGGATCCCTCAGCCATGAGAAAAAGACTGCAGGCTGGGCGCGGTGGCTCACGCCTGTAATCCCAGCACTTGGGAGGCCTGAGGTCAGAAGTCTGAGACCAGCCTGGCCAGCATGGTAAAACCCGTCTCTACTAAAAAAAAAAAAAAATACAAAAATTAGGCGGGCATCATGGCAGGTGCCTGTAACCCAGCTACTTGGGAGGCTGAGGCAGGAGAATCACTTGAACCCGGGAGGCGGAGGTTGTGGTGAGCCGAGATGGTGCCACTGCACTCCAGCCTGAGCGATGGAGTGAGACTGTCTAGGAAAAAAGGACTGCAGGTGATGAGGCGGCAGGAGCAGGGAGAGCCCCAGCAGCCCTTCTCACGCGCGATCTTGTTTCAGCTGATTTCGTGCATACCCACGACGAAGGCCCTCTGCAGACACACAGGAAACTACGGACAGTTCCCTGACCTGAGTCTTGGCCACGATGAATGCCCAGTAAGAGTGTGTAGGTGATGAGAAACAGCTTCCACCTCTACAATGTTCTAGGCTACAGAGTTCAAGTCACCACTGGCCTCTCCCAACCCCTTAGCCTCTGTCTATCTGAACTTCCTTTACGCTGATGTTTGAGTTCCCGGGTTCTTGAGAATCGGCTCAGTAGAAACTGGAAACAAAGCAGGAGCACCATTTGATGTCATTTCTGTCCCAATCCCAGCAGGGCTGGAATCAACTCTAAGCTTTCCACATCAGTCTTTAGTTCCTAAACTACGGCTGGCACTCGTTCTCCAGGGGAAAGCGGCGGCGCATAAGCACGGGCCATCACCAGGAAGAATGACGGGAAAAGTGGAAAATGGAAGATGGCCAGAGGGATTCTCAAAGCAAAAGGGTCACTGCACGAGACAGACAGC